GTGCCGTGGGCGAAGCTGCCCGGAGCCAGGCGTGCCCGGGATGGAGCCGGGTCCCCGCGTCCCGACACAGCCCTGGAGGGAAGGGCTCAGGGGATGCTTGGCTGCCTAACACGGTCCCCGCATCTTGGGACCACCCCTCCACAGCCCCAGCGCAAGGGGTGCTTTGCGACGTTTCCCCGAGACCGAGAACCACCGAAACACCGTCGCGCTCCGGGCCGAGCCATGGCGGAGAGCCTGCCCGCGCCCCTGGCCCCGCACCGAGCCAAACCCAGCACTGAACCTGCCCCAGGGCTCGGATTAAAAAGCAAAACCCCTCAGAGTGCAGCCGAGCACAAGCGGATTTCTAACCAGAGAGCATCTGGCTGGCAGGGCGGCGGGACCACGGCAGGGCACAGCGGCTGTCGGGGGGCTGCAGGGGCTGGTTTAGGGGTGTTTTCTCCCCCGCTGGGGTCTCTAAGCAAGGAGCAGCTACAAGCAGAACCCCTGCGCACGCACGTTCCTGGGACGCGTCTCGGAGGAGCTGGAGCAGCCCTCGCTACGGCCACCGCCGCTCCTGCTAGGGGACCAGCCCCGGCCCCTGCCCGCCCGGATCCTGCCCCGCGTGTGCCTTGTCCGACTGTGTGCTGGGGCGGTGACATTGCCACTGGGATGGTGACACTGCTGCTGGGACGGTGACACTGCCGCTGGGACGGATCCCCAGCGCAAGCCCCACAGGCGTGCAACGAGCCCCCGTGCCACTGGTGCATTGGGGCCCCCCCAGTTCGACGATGCTACGGAGACTGAGGACTCAGATCTCGAGTCCCCGCCAGGTCCCCCCGATACCACCATGCTGTGGCCTGGGCAGGGCAAGGACATCCTGCCACCACGTCTGGCCATGATGCTCCCCTGCCACTGCTGTGCCACATACAGATGGGCAGGCAGGTCCCCACATGCCTGGGACCCCCAACGAGGCCAGCTCCGACCCACGGGGACTCCCCCAGCCCGCAGCATCCTCCACCTGCAAGCGAGAGCGCCCGGGGCCACGCGCTGCTCTGTGCCACCATTCGGTGGCCATGCAGCAGGACACCAGGACATCCCTGTCCCCAAGCACCCCTGCGTAGGGCAGTGCCGTCGTGCTCCCCGCGGGCACGTGCACGACCTGGGGCTTGGGGCGTGCAGCCCAAACCCCTTCTCCAGAGCAAGGATGGGCAATACCACCCCACGGTGTGGCCAGCGTCGCGCAGGGGTCTGAGGATGCTGCTGGTCCCGGGTGCGGCGTGTGACCCGGGGGCGAAGGGAGCCGGGCAGCCCCCCTACCTGCCATCCCGTCCCTGTCCCCACCGGCAGCCTGGTACTCACTGGTGTTTGGCGTGAAGGAGGGGTGGCGCGTGGCTCCCTGGGTGACGGCCGGCGGCGGTGGCGGCATGCTGGGTGGCGTGGACCTGGGCTGCGTCTTCACGTCAGCCGGCGAGTCAGGCATGGTGGCGGCCCGCGTCTCCGCGTTATCTGCGGGGAGAGGGCACGGGGTGGTGAGTGGGGTGTGCCGGGGTGTTCCCTCCCAACGGGGGTCAGGTTGGGGGCAGAGGGGACCCTCGGGGACTGTGGGCTGGCCTGGGCATCTCCGCTCCCCTGTGCGGGATGGCAGCAACCCTCGCCCCGGGCAGAGGTCAGGCAGCGGGGGCGATGCCCGGTGTCCACGTGCCCACAGGATGGAGGGGACGGTGACCGACCTCCCGTGCATCTGCACAGCGGTGGGGATGGGGCCCTGAGCCTGGGGTGGATGCAGGCTGGTGGGGGGACAGGGCAGGGCACTGCTCTGCCTCTGCAGTGCCAGCTCTGCCCCACGCATGGGGCACAGCGTGTGCGTCCCCACAAAGCCCCTGCTGTCACATCCCGGCGCCCTCCTGCCAGCGGTCACCTGCCCACGCCTCGGGAACCCCCAGCTGCCCGCTAACCCCTCACC